ATATATATATTATATATATATATATATATATATATATATTGAAGTTATGAATGAGAATAACAGAATAGTATTGAAGTTAAAGAGGCAGAGATCCCCGAATATTATATCAAATATGCAAATCTGATATTAACACTTAAAAATATCTTTAAATCACAAAAAAAAAAAGGAAATTGAAATGAAAGTTTTGAGTTTAATTGATAATTAATTTAATATTACATTAATAATAGATGACGTAGTTGTGCTAAGGTAACAATCCAAAAACATGTCAGAACTTCTAAATTTATTTAAAATATATAAATAATTAAATTTAATATTCCAAAGTTACACTCATCCATAAATTTAACATGAAAATATATTAAATTAAAATTAAAAATTATGAAATTATCAAAAAAATTGAAAATCCAATGAATTTGTTCCATTGAGATGTTGATTTTCATATTTAATGAAAGTTTAGGTATAATGGATTATTATTTGTAAGTTGCAATAAATGCATATACTTACATTCGTTCATATAATCAACCTAAAAATATAACTAAAATCGCTAAAACTATAAAAGCTATTGAGAAGTAGTTGTTCATATGTGATGAGAATTTGAGATGCAATGGATAAGTATTTTGGAGTCAAAACGGATGAACGAATCTAATTGTACAAAAAGTCCCTAAGTCACCAAAAATAAATTTAAGAAACAATGAATTCATTATTAAGAAACTATGCCGCGAAAGTTTTTAATGCAATTATGGAGTTATTTGATAAACAAATATGATTAGATTTGTTCATATATTCAATCCGTAGATACGCGAAATTAGATTAAAAGAAATTCTTAAAATTACCAAAAAATGAAAGAAAAAAAAATCCATGATTCACCATGTAAATGTTGTTCATTCATGATAAAACTTTATGATTATTAGATATATTTTTTATAATTATACTAATAAATGAACATGATTATACTTGTTCTCATATTTTGGTTTATTTTTAGGTTGAATTCCTAAACAGTGCATAGCAAAAGTCATTTGTGAGTGTAATTATATAAAATGCATGCAATTTATATATAATTTTAGAATGTAAATTATGAAACCATGGTTTTTATATTTGTGGGATTTTAGCATAATTATAGAGAAATTTAATACATTTCTTAGGTTATTTGATACATTAGCAAATGAGTGTCCAAATGTGATTAATGAGTGTAAGAACTAGACATTGTCTAATTTACCTTCAATTTTCACAATAGAAGTAAAATAACAATAAATTTATGAATCTATAATTTTTTAGATTTTTTGTGTTATTTTTAGTGAATATTTAGTAAGTGTGGTGAAGGAAAGAAAGAGAATAACGTTATGGAAGCCGAAAAAGAAAACATTAATAAATAGGAGACAAAGGTGATTGAGAAAAAAAAAATGAAATATAAGAGAGAGAAATAAAAGTGAAATGAAAAGCTAAAAAAATGGCGATGATAAAAATAAGTAAGATAGAAGAGTGACTAAAGAAGATAAGAGATAAATAAGAAAGTGATGATAGACAATAGGAGAATTTAAATTTTGAGAGTTTATGAAACCCTTGGCATTAAATTGTTTGTCCATGGCATTAAATTTTGAGAGGAGAGCTTGTTAGGTAAAATGGAGTTTGTTTTAATAAATTACCAATATAAAAATATTAATTTATGAGATATTTGTAATACAATTGAATAAGAATAAATACCAATTGAAGTTATAAAATTATTATACTAATTATCAATACACCAAATTGGTATATTTAAATTTTCCAAGTTTTATAATATATTGAACTTGGATTTAGAGGGATTAATATGATAATAACTAACATTGTATATGGAAGTACATGTAATTTTATTTTTAAAATAAAATATTTAAAACTTTTATTTTTTTTCATTCATCTCTTTAATACTTGATTTTTCTTCTACCTTTTATAGGCTAAGGAAAATATCAAAATTTAAAAAAATAAATTACATGTGATCGCTATGATTATTAAGATTATATAAATTCAAATTGTTGAATTGAAAAAAAAACCAAATTATTGAATATTTCATCAAATTATTATATTGATTTTATTAAAAAAAATATAATAAATTGATTAACGAAATTAAATTTTAATACATTTATATAAATGGTCGGAGCCATGTAGAACTACTCTAGTGATATAGTTCACATCAGTCATATATCCTCGATTTAAATTAAAGGTGTCAATTATCTTCACAAGATACGGGGATGAGATTTCTTTTCATTACTCATGTGAATATGGGGTAGGGATAAGTAGAGCACATCTCACCTTATCTTGATACTCATATCCATACTGTCGATATATATGCATAGATATTAGGCTTAAATATTTGATTTGTCTTATTGAAATCATATTAAGTTGAGATTTGATTGAATCAATCAAGAGTCGATGAACTATTTGGTTCGATTGAACTGGATGAAATAATATCAATATTCAATTGTAACACTCCCTCCTTACAATCTATATATTAGAGGAATATATTTTATATTAAATACTTTATATTTATTTATAATTTATGATATTATTGATTATTTTTTAAAATATTTTTTTCTAAATTTGAATGAAGTAGTTAAGGAAATATAAATAACCCGCGGGTTTTCCACCGCGAATAGACAAGATAAACACTCCCCATCATGTCGTATCATCTAGTTTACATCCATCTCTCAAACCTTTTATATTGTTTATTAGGAAGGATATTTATGTCAATTCTAAATTAGTATTAAACTAAAAAAATCATTTCCTTTTTATTTTTCTCTTAACATATAGTCATCCCTCCCATTAAATTCGTCTTAACGTATCTCCTTAGTAACGATTAAATAATAGATTAAAGTCCATAATAAAAATAAATATTTTTTTGGTAGGTTTGGGTATGAAGTTAATTTGCAAAGGGGAATTACTTCCTAATATAAGTAGATAAGATAAGAATCATATTAAATAAATTAATTAAAAAATGTTCAAAACATCATCATTATTATACTCCTACCTCATGTGGGAAAATTTTCTCTCTCCTATTTAAGAATTGGCATACCCCTCCTTCTTATTGTTCATCAATAGAGGATCAAGGTTCTTTTAATTTATTAATATTATTTTTATGATTTTTAATGTGTTAAAATTATCCAATCATACCTTTTTTTTATTTGAAATTCTATATGAATTATTCTTAATTTTTATATTTAAGAAAATGATCTAATCATTCAAAATGAAGTTTGGGGATAAAAACAATAGTTATCTTTTATTTTATGCAGTAGATTATAGACATCATGAAATAATATTCGAATTTCCATGATTGATCAACTCTTAAGTTCGAAATATAAGAATCTATTAAGGTATTAGTTCATGAAAACTATAATTTATATATTTAATTAATTAGAAACTGCTTCTATCAGCTCTCATAAAGAAAACCCAAAATCCAACCCGATCCATTAGTCTTATCGGATTAGTGTGTCCAATATTCGAGTAACTCGTAGTTATTGCGGATCTGGGGTTACTTCAAACCGGATCCGATAAGAGGGCCGACGTGCTTCGTCCCACCTTCCTCCTAATATTTATATTTCTTAATTATTTTATTTTCTTTGGTGTGATTCCAGCAATCCTATTGGTGGAGTGACGGCGAAATCCTCGGCTTGCCGAATCACAACTCTTTCTTCCCCGCCAAGGAAGCCGGTCGAGCTTCTCCTCGATATATTGCTCTTCGGACGCGGAGAGGCACTGCGAAGCCCTCATCTCATCGGTCGTCCGTCTTTTCGCCGTCATGGCGGGCGCAGTAGACTCCCCGAAAACCCCGGACGAGCACCTCGAGCTCGATCTCGATTTCGATTTCGACATCGACTATCTCCTGAAGACCTTCTCCGATGAGGGCGTCGGCGTCCTCCTTGATCCCTCCGCTGGCTTATGTGTGGATGACTGCCCACCTCCTTCCAATGTTTCGGAGGAGGACAAATATGATTCACCTTCAGGGGAACCTGATGGGCCTTCCGATTCTTTCTCGTCGTACGTGAGCCATCTGGAGAAGTTCCTCATGGAGGAGGAAGAAGGGGAAGCCCACGTAGCCGCCAAGGAGGGCTTCGAAGCGGACGATTTTGTTGCCTGTTTGTTCGCCGAAGCGTCCCGTGACGAGGGAGGCGAGGTCGCCACGCCCGATTCGGAGGCCAGCAAGAGGAAGGAGAGGGAGGAGGAGGAGGATGAGGAGGAACCGCCCGTAGCCGCGGACGGCGAGGACGACGATCCGGTTAACAAGAAGAGGAGAAGGTACTAATCTTCCTGTCTCGCCTTTGTGCAGTCAAAACTCTGATCGACTAATTGGTGTAAATACTTCTCCTAAAACAGGCTATAGACTTATGCACGAAAAATAACGGACAAATTATGTGTCAATACTCTGCGTTTTGAGTATATTAGGGTAATTTAGGACATGGTGTTGGGGCTTTCTTTGTGTAGAAATGATTTGGATAAATATGGTTATTGTTATGACTCCTCAGGCAGATGAGGAATAGGGATTCTGCCATGAAATCAAGGGAGAGAAAGAAGATGTATGTGAAGGAACTGGAGATGAAGAACAAGTATCTGGAAGCGGAGTGCCGGCGTTTGGATTATGTTTTCCGGTGCTGTACAGCGGAGAATCTGGCACTCCACCAGCGCTTGCAGAAGGAAAGGCTGTATGATGCTCCCACAGCTAAGCAGGAGTCTGCTGTACTCTTCATGGGTAAGAAACATGCCCAAATTGTTGTTTCCATCTTATTTTGTCTGCTCTGTTCTGTTTCCGCTGAATGTATAATTGCCTGGTTAAGATTGATCCTGATGTATGGGAATGCCTTATTTGAAGTCTTTTTTTTGTTCTTTGTCAAATGGAAGATACATATTTATGCTTACTGCATGCATTGGAACACACAGATGACTTGAGCATCTTAATAGCCAATTATTGACATTTACATACAGAATCATCCAGTCCACTTCTTATATTTTCAAGGTTAGAAAGAATTTATAATTAGTTAACTTTGCATTTTGTTTCTGAATGGTGATTCTTTCTAAGATCATTTGAAAATTGAAATTTATCCTTGGTTTTGGTTTGCCTCTGCATTAAAATTATGGGAGCTTATTTGTTTGGTTTCTTTCTGGGTCTTCATCGTGCTTTACAATGGATATTCAACATGTACAGCAACACAGTTAATGACAATTTCCTTAAATTCTTAACCCCTTCAATTTAGCTGATAAAAAGTTCTGAAATTAGAGTGGCCTTCTATTTTTTTATAATGCCCACTTATCTAACACATGTTAAGGCCTAACTAGGGCATTGCTGCAGTACATCCTGTCATATTGCATGCAGCTTATGCTTCTCCATGTATGATATGTGAAAGACTCCTAAGTTTAATGCCCATAAGCCATGAAATATCAATATCCTTCTGACATGGTATGCTAAAGATCGAACAGAATATCATTTTTGATTGTATGGCATGGAGCAGTATCCTTCTGCATCATATGCCCCAATTCTTGGCAACAAGCACGCCAATTCTTGATCACAATTCCTAATTGGCCTTTAATGGTTTTCTAGATCAGGGTTTGTGGGAATTTTGAACAACTCTTCTGATGTATGCTTGTTGTCTATAACAAGCATACTTGTTTTCATATTTAAAGCCCTTATTCCTGCTAAAAAGTCAAACCTGAAGTTGTTTACAGAAAGGCAGAAGTTTCCTAATTTAGGCTAGTGATAAAAGCCATGTGCTGGCTAATTTGAAGGGATTTTTGGCTATGTTTTTCTTTTAAGGGAATGCAGAATTTGAGCCCAGGACCTTTCAATGATCTATCAAAGTCTTTACTAGCTAACACTTTTATCTTTGGCTATGTTACAGAGACTCAAGGAGGTATATATATAGAGCCAGCTAACAAGTCCTCTTTGTTTTATTAGATTTATATTGTGCTCTCTTTTATCTTTTGAACTCTTTGAATCCACGTCTTCAACCCTCCATGTTTAACCTAACCCTGTAGAACATAGTAGGGAAGTAGTGAGAAAGAGAAGGGGAAGAGAAAGAAAGAGAAGTGTGAGATAAGATAGGAGAGTAAGAGACTTGATAAGATGCAATCCTTTTCATTTAAATCTGAAATGCTCAATCCGTTGATAAGCTTTACTATTTATAGGGGTTTAGGAGTCTTGACACAATTAATGAAGACAATGACTCCCAATAGTAATCTCCTAGGGAATTAGTATGCTTTTTAGAAATCCAAAATGTGACTTTTATGATGCCTAAATAGTAAATGAGTGCATTTAATACAAAAGGAGTCCCTACAAAGATCAAAAAATCTTGTTTTTAATTTTCAACATAACTTTTATAATTTTTAGACCATTTACTTAGAATAAGATTTTCTGAATCCTTTCTCCATCAAGCCCTGTCATACAAACACCTTTGATTACAGTCTTTGGATCTTGCACATGTTGTTGGTATAAATTTGCTCAGCTAAAGCAATTGCTTACTTGAATCAGTTGCTTGTAGAGCCCCAACTTATGTACAAATGTTCACATCTAAGCTTGCCACCAATCACACATTTGTCATTCAGCCCCGATTCTCTAATCTACCCCTGCTATGAAACACTTGTTGCTATTTACAACCTACACCATACTTGAACCAGTCTATTCTTTATTGTTAATCTTCAATTCTCACAAAGTGTTTCCTAATCAGATTTTAAGGGCTATTGTTTGGAGTCATACCACTTTAAAACTATAATTTCTATGCTTGGGTGTCATTCCACATCCTGTATGTTCATGCTTTACTTGATACAAAGAAGAATCTTATCACCCAGCTTAGGATCAACAATGAGGTGGTATCTGATACTAATATCATTAAGAAAGGTTTTGTGAATTTCTATCAACAATTGTGGAGTAGGGATAGTCTTGATAACTTGGATGTGCTGCCTTGGCCATGTTTGCATAGGATTGACCCTGCTTCCTCTATGTATTTGATTCAACACATCGCATAAGTTGATTCTCTGGATCACATTACTTATCTTAGGTTCAAGTTGAGTTATGGTTTTCTTGGTGGTGGTTCGTATTATTTGCACACTTGTTTTAACTCAAAGGTGTAGATAGTTCTACCTCTTGTTCATCATGATTTGCAGTCGTAGGCTGCAAAATATTTAACAGAAGAGGCAACATATATAATGTTCAGTACCGGAATAAGAACTTTAATGCATTGCTTGATGCTATCTCTATGTAGCTCAGTTTGTTTTTCACTAAAAGTTTTATTTTCATTGTTATTATCATCAGAATCCCTGCTGTTGGGTTCCCTGTCTTGGCTGGTCAGCATCGTTTGTCTGTTCCTCGTGCCTGTCCTGCCCAACCTGAGTCCGAAGGACATAAACCCTCTCGAAAGAGGCCTCGCGGACGAAGTTGTGTCGGCCAAAAAAGTAACAAATAAGAGATTGGAGACAAATTTAAGATCGGGGTTGGTTGTTTTCAGGAAAAGATGCAGAGGTATGAGGACTAGGATGAAAAACTTGTTTGTTGCTCCTGCATTCTATTCAGACTACCTCATAGTTCCTTAGTTTGCTCATCAGTAAATGCTCTCTTGGTTGTTTCTTTATAATAATGTCTTGTAAAATTTTGTGTCTGTATTGTTCTTGAAGTGTTCGACGATAGATTAGTCGGAAGATTACTATTTGCTGTCGTTTGGCTAATTCTGATTACCATATTTAGCAGCAATGTTCAGATATCAGAATCTCTAAAGATATTTGCAGAAATACAATATCGTCACAATTGGATTGGTGGGATCCATTAACCTATGAGTTAAGAATAATATGGTGCCAGATGAAGTCTCTGTTAGTAGCTTCAGCTGATCAGGTTTCATTTAATATTATTATTTTAAAGAATAATTTATTAATTTATTTATGATGTTTACCATGTTTAACTCACCATGCTTGAAGTTTCAAAAGCATAAATCAATACTTATTATCTAAGTTCTAAAATAGAATGATATTGATCAAAAAAATTGTGATAGTATTTGATCATATCATATTTAAAACTCATACAGACTATTATGTAGAATCTAATACCATTCTAACATCATGCAAGAGAGTGATGTAGTTGTCTTGGTGTCTCACATTGCTTTTGTTATTTCCAAGCTATCTATAACACATAATTACAGAAGATACAGGACCGTGGACACCATAATTCTATTACTTTACTGATTAACTCAATATCCAGCCAAATTGTTCAGATCTGCAGTAAGAAAAAGCCTAAATTGTTCATCCAAATGGTGTTGTATTCTCTAATCATAAGAGAGATCCAACTGTCGCACATTCAAGTCTTATCTACACATTCAAATATTGATGCAGCCAATTGAAATCTTGCAGAGATTAGGATTGTGTTGGAGAGTGTACAAGAGGAAGAAATAATGACAACCATCGACGAAGTCCAAATTGTTACAGGCATGTTTGCTTTTGGCAATTGGATTGGATGGCAGGTTGAAGATTGACTGAATGAAATATAAAGAAATAAGTTTTCGACTATAAATAAATGGCAGGAGTTATCTGAGGTAAAAACTCAATAATACAAATTAAATCTGATTGAATTAATAAAATAAATTTAGAAATAATTCAGGATCACATTTTATGTGGTTTTATTACTTAGACCTCCCAAATATTTCAGTTCCTAAATTTATAAAATTTATATTTGAATCCTTATAGTTATGAAAGTCTTCATTTATTATAATATCGTCCGTTTTACCAACGAAAATATAAAAATAATGGGTAAAAAATAATTTTAATATTCTAATTAATGGTGATTGATGCCATTGGTGGTGGTGGATGACGCTGTAGTTGAGGACCATAAGTGGCTCTTGTGGATGAGGAGAACAACAATGGGATGTGAGGACCGTTTTGCATCTGTGCTGGTGACCCTTTCGTTGCTTGACATTGACAAATACGTCGACGTTGATGCATTTGCCGAGCAATATCATTTTGCATATGTGTTGATATCGATGTGGTTGCAAAGCGATGAAAGGGCCGTCGACACAGATATAGAGCAGCCATCACCTCTCGCTACTGCTCTCCTCATCCACAACAGCCACCCGAGCTACCATTTTATCGCTTTATATTTGCGTCAATATCGACACAGTTGCCGAGCGATGAAAGGGCTATCGATGTAGATACAAAGCAGCTTTTTCGTCGTTTGGTAACTGTGTTGATGCAAACACAGATGTAAAGTGACGAAAGAATTGCTTAACTGTATTGGTGTTGACGCAAATGCAAAACGATCCTTATATCTTGTTATTACTTTTCTCATCCATAATAGCCACCTGCAGTTCGACGATGTTGCTATCTACCATTGATGCCATTTGATACCAAAAGTTGAAATATTAAAATTATTTTTTTATTTTCGATACGAGGATAAACGAAACTAAATATTTCACTTTAATAACTATAAGGATTTTAGTGTAATTTTTTTTAAGACTAAGACTGAGATTCTAAGAAGACGTAAGGGTAATATATAATTAGCATTCCACCCGTCCTGCGGAATAATACTACGGGCTTGAGACTAATGACATTTCCCTGTGCCCAAACTCACGAGCTCTACCTATTCATCTTCGTGTTCTCCCTCCGCCGCATCTTCACAACCACCTGCCATTGCCACCTCGGGGACGCTTGTTATCTGTTTGACGATATGCCAAGGCCGATTCACTAAAGCGACGGTATGTATTTAGATCGTCATGGAGTTGGCCTTCATCTCTCTTGTGCATATGACACCGTACGTATTAAGTCGCAGGCGACGAAGTTGGGTTCGAGGGTCATTTGCGGACGGTCCAATTTTGTGCAGCAGCAGCATTAGGGGGAGGAAGAGATAGCAGAGCGGATTCGGGATGCTGCCTCCTGTGGCGAGCAAGCGATACGTGCTGCGGCTGTTCATATCGCTCAAGCACGTGACGGCCAACGTGGTGGACCGTCGCAGCGGGCGCGTGGTGGTGACGGCGTCCTCGGTGGAGAAGGCGCTCAAGGCGGGGTTCGAATGCGGGCGCACCTGCAACGCCAAGGCGGCCGCGGCGGTGGCGGAGGTGCTCGCCATGCGCCTCAAGGTCGACGGCCTGGCCCGGGAACCCATCCACGCCGACGCTACCAAGGAGGTGGAGAAGAAAGGCTTCAAGAACCGCACCAAGGTGTGGGCCATGCTCAACGCCCTCCGCTCGCACGGCGTCAACCTCATCCTCGACCAAGGCGACATCCGCCATCCTCCTCCTCCTCCTCCTCCTCATCTCCCTTGAGCGCTTGATTCTTCATAGATCAGACAATTGATATATGATGTCCTATATCTGTTCGATCAAATGCTTGTGCGGATGTGCGATTCACTCGTGGTGCACTGTAGATGTTCGATGGATCGATTCACGATCGTTTCTTCTTAGAATTTGCTAGTATCTCACTGCGAAAACAGAGGGCAGACCTTAGATCATCCCTTGGAATCGCTAATAGAAAAGAGGATAGCCTCTTAGGAAGACAGTGGAAACATACCAAGCAGCAGTTCCTGCTGGGTTCGACGAAGACAAACCCAATGCGGGTCCCATGTTTCCAACCAATATACGGAGTCGTATTGGTGAAACCTGTCTCGAACTCCACATTGCGTGCCCATGAAACCCTAATTTTCGATCTTTATAAGTGCCTCCTCAAGCCGGCCACAGTCTGCCTTCCTCTCCTCTCCACGTTCATTGGTTTGCCGTTTGGCGACGGATCTCTTGGTTTCTTGATGGCTGCGTTCGGAGAACTCGCCTGCACCTATGCCGCTCTCCTCCTGCACGACGATGGCATCCCCATCACGGTGCTTCCCTCTTCTTTTCCATTTTTCTTTCCTTAGAAGTTTTTCTGTGGTTTAATCTATGCCCTATCTGACGTCTTGACTTCTTCGCCAACCAGTCGGAGAAGATCTCGACCGTGGTGAAGGCTGCCAAATTGACGATCGACTCCTACTGGCCGCCCCTCTTCGCCAAACTCCTCGAGAAGAGGAGCGTCGATGACCTCATCTTGAGCGTCGGATCCGGTTCGATTTTGTTGCTCATCCTTCTCGTTCGTTTCGTCGTTTTAACTGTTAAAAATCCGATCTTTAAGCTCATTTTGTGCCGAAATACTTGGATGTTCTTGCAGGGGGTGGTGGTGCTGCAGTTGCGGTCTCTGCTGCCCCGGCTGCCGCAGGCGCGGCCCCCGCCGCTGCTCCTGCAGCCGAGGAGAAAAAGGTGAGAATTTCTCTCTTGTTTTGAGTTTCCTAATCTGTATTATATGAGATCGAATCATTTGTATAGTCAAGGGCTTGAATCTTTTCTCGTCGTCATTGTCGCAGGAGGAGCCCAAGGAAGAGAGTGATGATGATATGGGATTCAGCTTGTTTGATTAGGGAGAGTGTGATCTCCAACGTCATTTTATATTAGATATGGTTATTAGGCACTTATTGCTTTCAAAAAGTCTCATCTTTAGAATTTCCACCTGTAGGATGGAAACTCAACATTGCTAAGTTATTTTCTGGTGGATTTTAAGATTTTGATATGTCAGCGTCGACGTTTCTCTTTCTTAAATTGATTTTGTTATCGATGTATCTCTTCCATTGTTTGTGATCTCCGAGTTATTGGTTCTTTTGTGATGCATTGTTTGTGCATTTTGTGCAGTGTGATGCTTCCTTTTATATCTCTGTTTGCTGGAATAGATGTTAGACTACTCTATATCAGTTTGGCACACATGAATCCTTACTTTGAGGTGTTTGATACATTGAACTGTGATATACTGAGATATTGCAGTTGTTGTTGCATCCAAAGATTAGTCTTGTAGATGCACATACAACATTTTGGACTTTTCTTTTTGGTGAACCAATCACTTTTATGAAATGAGTAACATGATTGTTGACTAGTGAGTTACAGGAAACAAAATTGCGATGTGCACTGCCCATAAATGACATCACTGTGGTGGATGAAAAATCAAAGGTGGTTTATGTATTCTCATTTTTTTTCAATTATAATGTGTCATGATTGAGTTGTTTATGGTGTAATGCCTTAAACCTAATGACAATTATGGTGTTTTTAGTGTAATGCTTTAAACCTAATGGTGTTTACTGGGTTTGAGAGATTGATAAATATATTATTTTTAGAATAAAAATATGTTGGTTAAAATCACCAATGGTTTCATTGTGTGATTGTCGAGTGTCTTTCTCAACTCTCTCTTCCCTTTGTTTCTAACACTCACTCCTGTATCTTATTCTCCTTGCTTAAAAACTCTCATATTATTCTCCTTGCTTGGTCTGCTTCCTCACAGCATTGCTTCTTGACATTACAAGGAAGATTTTTACGACATTAAAGAAAGACTTTTATTAGACATTTGGTTGAGCCATGTTGCCTGATGGATTTGGATTTGAGTTTTGGATGATAAAGAAAAATGTATAAAATGTCTGTGCTGGGTTGCTATGATGAGAATTATGTAATAGACTTGTAAGGGTAGTAGGAAAGACAGATAAATGACGTCATTTATGAACAATTGGATTTGAGGGTTGGATAATAAAAAAAACATTATGTACTAAAGGTGCAACTTTACAGTTGATTTGTGGTGTGGTGTTGTTGAGATGAGAACTTTGCTGGTTAGTAGGAAAGATAAGTAAATTTTATCATTCGTGAACATCTATGTTGATAAAAAATAAAAATGAGTTATAATTAATAGTATATCGATTAGTGTTTTATAAAAGGTCTTCGAGCATTCACTTAGGTGTTCAAGTGAGACGAATCAACTAAGCATAACCGACTCATCTTTGGTTGTCAGTGCTATATCCGTTGTTGACATATAATTTCGACACTTCCACTATCATCAACGGATAGATCTAAAGGTCTTGTGGCTTTAGCTTTCGTGATCTAAAGGTCCTGTTGCTTCAGCTTTCGTGCATAGTTCCTTCTATCACTGGTGCTTTTGTTTGCAGCTCCAGCTCCTTCTGTTAGTGTAACAACTTTATGCCATGGCCTCGGGGCCAACATGGTTTGGTTCGGGTCCGAATGAGCGGGGATCTTGTACGGCGCTCCTCAAGCCCGCCAGGGAGGTCGGGTGCGGTGTCCGATCAGGACGGTATAGTCGTCACTTCTGGGCTGGAACTCCTCGCTTGCGCGTCCGCTGGGGACCTTGGTCCTCTGCACCTGCACCAAGGTCGGGTCAAGGCGCTCGGCCCGACCCCTCCGACGATCAAGTTAGCAG